ATCAGCAGAACACACTGCAGAGCACAGAGCTGCTCCGAGTCAGGAGCCACGAGGGGTCAGTGCAGAACATGGGATGGCAGCGGAGCGGCTCTGCTGGGAGGCAGGCAGTCAGTCCTCATATTGCACATATCGTGTCTGTAAGTGCTAACCTGGCAGTGTTACCCCATTTTAGCAATCACCCAGAATTCTTCGTGGGATTGCATTACTGCTCTGTGACGAGCAGAGCAGTGCTGCATCTGGATGGGCTCCAGCAGTGGTTCCTGTGCTTCTGGTCAGGCTCTCATCAGAAAGGCATTTTTAATCCTTTTTCCATATGGCACAAGCATTTTTTTCAGGCAGTTCGTTTAAATAAAAGTACTGTTAATAACCAAGAGGGTAAATATAACACAAATGTAAGAGGAAGAAGAAGTGAGGGGAAAAGCAAACCAAAGATGTGGAGCAGTCCATATTTAATGCTCAGGAGTTATCACCCTCTCCATTTATATTTTCATGACCATTCTGTTTGCCTTCGTGCTTTCTTACTAACAATGGGAATATCATGATTTTTCTTTCTTTTCTTTATTCATTAACTATTTTAGCATTTTCCTTCATTTTCTTCATCCCTCGCTGGTGGGAGCTGCTGGGCTGCTGCATCACCCAGGCCTGGGCTGGAACTTCTCCTCTCTGTGTTGTTTCCATGGCTACAAAGCTCTCTGCTAATGAATTATAAGCTTGCATTACATTATGGAATTAAGCTTAAAACACAGTCTGGTGAAGTATTAGAAATGAACTCTCCTCATTTTGAGTTATCAGCATCCTGACAATTAAGTCGTATACACGAGGAAATGGATAGTCCTTCACAACATCTACAATTACATGGAATTGGAAATGCAATAATGTAAGAAACAATCTGCCACAGTGATGGAAAATGTGTCGCTGAGGAGGAGGTTTTTTCCCTGCAGATTGTGACTCAAAATTTACTGCATGTGTTTTCTTCATTAAAGGCTTGCTAATGGCTCTGCCTGTTAGGTGTTCGGACTGGGAAGTCCAGCAGGGCTCCGTCCTTCCGTGGGTCACTGGGGAACTACTTCATCTTCCCCTTTCCACACCTGCAGTGTGAGTTCTGCCTCTCCCTGCCTGCTTCTCACCACACTGTGCCACTTTGGGGGGGGATGTGGTTACCTGCAGTCCTGCGATGCCATTGAGTTACCTGCAGAATTAGGAAGGGAAAAGCTGGGGGCAAGGCTGATATGGGACACAGAGACATTTGAGGAGTTTTTGGGTCTGGTGGAACGTTGCTGCATTTTGAGGCAGAGATCTCATTAGTTGAACAAAGGGATTTAATTCTGGCAAGAGGATACAACCAGTATTAAAAGAGTTGGGACCCCAGATGCAGCCTGGCCGCATTGCTGACCGTCACAGCTGCAGGATTTTTGCAGGGGACTGAAGGCAGTGCTGCTCCCTGCTGCTGGATCTCCCACTTCCCATTCTCAGCAGTGCATGGGAGCTCCATTTCTTTTCCCAGTAGATGTCAGTGGAACCAGTACACAGCAGAGGGAACGTGGCGAGAAGATGCATGCCCAGGATGCATTCATACCTCCCCACGTGCAATATTCAGCACTGTTGTTAAAATTCAGTCTTGTTAAATATTTTTTATTTACCACTTTCTCCTCTTGAATTTACCCCCGGTCCGTCTTCCCATTGTGCATCCAGGGACTGCTGGGAGCAGGTTGCCATGGCAACAGGGAAACACATCCTCAGTGGCCTGCATGCCACCAGGCCTTGTGTCAGCTTCCAGGTCATGCCAAGGGAAATGATGTAGGGTTTTCCCTTCTGAAATGGTGCATGAGGGGTGACCTGGAGGGTTGGAACCAGGACTGCAAACTCAGCTGTGGCTGAAAGGAAGGGGTGGTGATGTGTTGCTGTCCCCTAAACCACTTCTTTGCTTCACAATCATTAGATTATGGAGAAGAACATGTTCGTATGACAAACCCATGAACAGTTTTTACACTTAGGATTTAAAAAGCCAAAAACAACAAGCATTTTTTAACTGTGTAAGTGAGATGTTCTCTGATATACGTCCTAAGAGATTCTCCAACGTATCACACTGTAACTTCAACAACACTTCATGAAGAACTGCATTTGGGCTAAATGCATAAAGTGTGTCTCACCTGTGGTTTCAGGGTAAAAGAACGGGCCGAGATAAGGTGCGTCCGAGCCGGAGGAAGTAAGATGATGTGCATGTCTCGTTCTCTTTTAAGATTAACCCTTCTGCTACCAGTGCAGACTAATTCATCTTTACCGTACTGTTTTCTGGGTTTGTTTGCTGCAAGCTGGCCTTGTTTTGCAATGTTGTACTTTTTACACAGACAAAACCAGTTTATAGCATACTGAGAGGGGGTTGTGGACAAATTTAAGCAAGCACCCACTATTGTAAAATCCCCTAATGTATGTAATCCATATGGTGGCTTGAATGGTGATGTTTGTAATGCTCTAAAAATGAGGAAGTCCCAAAACAACATGGAGCATTTAAATAACTTTATTAGAATGGCTCCACATGAAATATATTTTCCTCTAAGAAAGGAACCAGAAGGCTGTGATTCTGGTTAGCTCTTCTCCTTTCAGATATACCTCTTCCATCTGTTTTCCATACCATTCCCTTTATTCTAGCCATATGCAACCACAAGAAAACCTGTTCCAGTTCAAGACACTGACTTTAGGTAAACATCTGAGAATATGCATGTGTTGGGCTGTCCATAAGAGCAGAGCTGGAAGAGGAAACAGTGCATCTGTCCAAGATCCAGAAAGATCTGGACATCATTTCACAGCGTCAGCTGTAGGAAACAAGATCAGCGGTCTCACCTGGGTGCCATGGTCTGTGTGTGTCTCGGGTCCCAAAGCCCTGCTCTCAGCTGTGTGTCCAGAGCTCCCTGTCACTAATCGCTCTCCTTATGCACACTTTACCTATGCAAAAAGGCCATCGGTCTCTTTATTCCTCTATGGTCAGTGTTGTTGAAACAGCATTCGGTGGAGCTCTGGAAAATACTTCTATCCAATATCTGTCCTTCTTTCAGTGCTTGAATTGGCCTTGACAGAGCATAAGTCTCAAACAGATTTTCTTCCCTTCTAATTAGTAGTAAAGCTATTGATCATGAGCAATCCTGGATGTAGAGGTAGTGGTGAAAGAAATGGTGTGTGGTTTGACATCTCACTTATGCAAATTACAACACACGGTGCTCCTCACCGTCACTCTATTTTAAGAACAGTTTTGGTTTGTAGTTCCCTATCTGAAATACATAAACTGTTTCTTACATGTAGAAACAACACCCCCACACGTTAAGGTATACACAAATTTGGGGTTTTGGTGAGTGTTGTACAAGTCTTAAGGCCCAGTTAGTGGCCGTACTCCATGGTACCACTGGATTCCACCAGCAGCAGGAGCTGCCATTGGGCAGTGCTTTGTAGGATTGGAAACGTAGGCTGGTGCCCAAGACTTGCCCTTGCTAAAGGCTTTTGCAGCCCCTGGTCCTGTTTGGCATCTCCAGGGGCTGCTTTCTTACAAGTAAGCCATCACAGTGGTGGAATGAATTCCGTATTTTCACAAACAAACTACAAACAAAAACACACACAAAAAAATACCAAAAATGCCAAAATTCGTATCCATGTGGCAGATACAAGATTTTCTGCAGTTATAAACCTGATTATGGCCTCGTAAGCACAGTGTGGTTGGTTTACAGGAGGGTCCCTTGTCATGCTCATGGCAGCAGGGGCTGGTGGCCAAATTAAGGCATCCCTTCCCGTTTCAGACATCTAAACATGTCTGGGGAGGGGAAGGTTGGTTCCAGTTTCCAGTTGAGCTGCCAAGGTCATACGCCAGGCCAAGCCTTTAAGGCCTTTAAGGCCAAGACTTACTGTGTGACTCTGAATACACTTTGATTACCAGAATTTGGGTTTTTTATCTGTAAAACCAATGATATGCAAGTACTGTCCTTTTGTGGTATAGTAACAGAAGTAATTATTCTTAGATGTTGGGCATATGCCAATGGCATAAAATAAATTAACCACATTAGAGATTATTTACTATGCCAACTCACTAGCTACTTGGGGGAAAGCATTTACATTCCAAAGTTATGCTATTATTAAACCTTCTTGGCTTTGCTTCTGCTGGTGTGTGGGATAAGTTTGAGAACAAGAGGGATATTCTGTTGTAGTCTGTATTATCTTGTGGTGAATCTTACTTTTTTCTCTTTTGTTAACTTTGAGATTTGAAATGAAACTTACTTCAGCAATTATGTGGTGTCTCATGTGAAAATACTGAGACCATTGCAACCTTCTACAAACCAGACTGTCTAGCCAAGACAGAACCTTTGTATGTAATATTTCCCTCCCTCCCTTTTCCAGATCAACGCTTGATTGAAAATCAAAGTTGATTGTAATGCTAGTTTGAAAGTGGCCATGTTCATCTGCATTAATCCTCATATGTTGTTTTTTTGATGCAGGTTATTTTTCTTAATGCATGTGAAATATTTATTAACTCTTGCTATGCAGAGTGTCTTTGAGAACTACATTTCAAAAGAGAATGTGTTGAAAAGACTGTTTTTATCTAGAGTACTCTATATAGATGATAGCATGGTATTTTTGAAGAACGTTTTTTGTATTTTGGAACAAAAGCACCAGAGAAGCCTGCTTTTGGCATGAATATACGTGACTTCTTTTCTTTGGCTTTCAATTTTGCTTTGGTTTTGCTTCAATAACCAGATAAGTTTATCTGCTTTTATCTGGTTATACATGAACACATATTTCCACTTTAATTCTCTCAATAACGTGAAAAGTATTGTTGGAATGAATCTTTGAACTCGTGTCTGCACAGATTTTGTTATGCAGCCTTTCTCCCAAGAATGCCATCTCCAATGTGGTCATCTCCAACCTAGTGCTCACCCAGTGACCCACTCTGCTGAGGAAATGGGCTGCTCTTCTCACTTGCCCGTTTTTGTGTATATATGTGTGTGTATGTCCTTTAGAAAGCCAAACTTGGGCCAGCTGGTAACAAAGTCATTACTCCGTCGGAAGACAGGAGTTCAACTGTGCCATCCAACAATCTGGACAGGGTGAAGCTGACAGATTTCAACTTTCTTATGGTTCTTGGAAAAGGAAGCTTTGGAAAGGTAAGAATTGTTAATAACAGTTCACTCCATTCTTTTATTCTTGAGGAACAGTAAATAAATCATTCTCCTTCTAAGAGTCAAAATCCAGAGTCAAAAAGAAGTGCACTTCAGAAGGAGCAGAGTGGGGCAGTTCCTTAAGGACTGGCAGGCTTCAGTCATGATTGGGCATTTTTTTTCCAAAAACAGATTGAGAACAGCCTCACACTTTTGGGCAGGGTGTAAGAAAATAACTGTTAAACCCTCACTTCTGGGCAGTTTCAAGGAGATCAGGTCTACCTTTCTGACTTTGCTCCCTAGGTAACTGCCACTTCTGGAAGTCACCGGCTTTGGTAGGGCTGAATATCTGGGAAGAATCACAGATAGTATTTATATTTGAAATGTGTTAGTGGAAAGAAAGGACTGCCATTTTTCTGGCTAGTTTAACACCCTTTTGTATGGTGATGTGCCCTTTACTGAAGTCCCCCGGGACTGAGCATCTTCTCAGCCCTGGGGCAATGTGTCTGCAATTCACACTGGGGTTTTGGCTCAGGTTTTGTCTGAAATGACTGATACAGCTCATTGCAGTGGGTGAGTAATTATGTTATTTTTGGTGTTTTGATCAAGTTGGTCTGTACCAATGAAAGGGCAAGCTGGATTGCCACCTATACAGCTCACTGAGCATGTGAGTCACCTTCTCCATTGGCAGGTAGGAAGATTTTCACTCCTGTTTCTTTTTGTGCAGGTGATGTTGGCGGACAGGAAGAATACAGAGGAGCTCTATGCAATCAAAATACTGAAAAAAGATGTGGTGATTCAGGATGATGATGTTGAGTGTACAATGGTTGAAAAACGAGTGCTAGCACTGCAGGATAAACCACCATTCCTAACACAGCTTCACTCTTGTTTCCAAACAGTTGTACGTGAGCTCTCTTCCTTGTAGCAGTGATGTTTTTCTTAATATGTGATCCAGAATTATGTCAGATCAATAACCTGTATTATCATCCAACATATATATCATAGCTTCTGCACACAGGAAACAGTGAATGATAAGATATCCCATGCAGTTACCCAAACTCATCCAACCTGAGTGCATGCTTGTAGAGTGTGATCAACATGTTCTTACCAAAGGCACTTGGAAAAGGTCAATTTTAGTCCTCTGAAAAATGGTGGACAGACCAATATTGCTTAAGTCTCACTTAAGGTCACTAAGTGGGAAAATACTACATAAGTACTCAGATTTGTTGTGGTCATGTTTCACTTAAGATACCTGGATACAAGCTTTAAAATTTTTTACTTTGCAAGAAAAATCATCCTCCAAAATACTTTATTGCAGTCTTTCTCTAGCTGAAGTAAAGTGAGAAAGGAATTTAGTATCACTGGTGAAGATTCAAGATACTTTTGTAAACCCTGTGACTTCTTTTCTTGCCTATTTTTAATCATCAGTAGTATATATATACCTAAATCTATTAGGAGGGATCAGAAATAGGCTGAAGACAAAGATTTTTAACCGTCTTTAATGCTTTTTTTGACATTTATTTTTAGCAGACAAAACTATGTGTGAGTAGTTATGGGAACAATGTAAGCAAGGAATACATAAACGTGAGTCACCATTGGCAAAACTAGGCAGCTCCCATCAGTCATTGACTCTTGCAGGTTTTACAAAACATCCCACTTCCATTTCCTAATGTATCAATTTTACCAGAATGTACAACCAGTCCCAATAACCTTGAAAGCTTTATTCCTGATCAGTGCTTATCTGTTATTGTCTGATGTGTTCATGTGCATGTTTAATACTTTATCCTAGGACCGCCTGTATTTTGTTATGGAGTATGTGAATGGTGGGGATCTCATGTACCACATTCAGCAAGTAGGGAAATTTAAGGAGCCACAAGCAGTGTGAGTGTCCATGTTTATATATTTAAATCACGTACTGACCTTATTTTTATACTGTAACAGAGTTAGATTTCTCTATCAGCCTATGCTTTAAGTCTGAATTAGTATTATAGGGAAAGAGACATTGCATTGTAGTTTACACAAGGTATTTCAGTGTGCAGCTTATGAGAAGTTCTATGATGCTACATTTTATAGAAGTTTTATCTGTGAGAAGTCAGGAAATGATGAGAAGTTGTTTATGTACATAGTCCCTTTCGGGTCATTGTACATCTGGTGTATCAGTGAGTAACTGATAATGATATGTAGCATATTTAAATGTGAGCAGGCAGAACATCAGTGCCATTTTAGTCATGTTTATAACATCTCATCATCATTTATTAGTGCTTCATGAATCATTTACCAATGAAACTTTCAAATCAAGCGTAACCAATTCTGTTTAAGAAACCCACAGAAATAATTTCTTATTTTGATTTAAGTAATCAGGGCTTGCTTAAAGGAAAGGCCTTCTAGATATAAATTTTGAGATATAAAACAAAATATAAATTTTGAGATATAAAACAAAATGAGAACTCCCTAAAGAAGAGCATGATGGTGTCAGAACATCCTTGGCTCCCAGCTCATGTACCATGTCCACCACCTGTTGGAAACGATACTGCTTTATGACAACTTGTGCCTGTGGAGCATATTGCAGCACACATGTCTGCAAACAGCTCTGGTTTCAGAGCTAACCTTTCATTTTCTTTAAGCTTTAAGACTAAAAAATAGTCCTTATATTCTTCCCTATAATTTATGCAGATCCGCAGCAACTGGCATCTAACATCCATCAATATTATATATTCTTTTACTACATTCAACAATTATATTTCATATTGCAGTCATTTTAATTACGTAATTAATCCATTAAGAGCCTGTATAAAGGAATGCTATTTCTGCAAATGATTTAATGCCATATGAATTGCAGTGTAAATTGAGCTGCATCCTGAACTCGGCATTGGTGTGTGATTAGAGATAATGACCTACGTCTGATTGGTGCAGCAGGAGTGCTGTGCTCCAGCTGCACCTTCTTCTCTCTGGTCTAGAAACAAATTTTCAATTAAAAAATAAAAAGCTGCCCTATTTTGTCATCAAATTTTTGACATCAAAGTTAAATTTATCTGGTAAAGTCGATTGGAAGGAAGGTGCCTGTTATGTCTTCTACCTATAATGTATGTTTTTATACTTTACTGTCATCACTTTTTACTGTGATGCATGTCCAAAATATTTTGTCGGAGGCAAATCACGAGGTAATAAGAAATCCTTGGGCTTTTTCTCTTCACACAGGTTCTATGCAGCTGAGATCTCAGTTGGGTTATTCTTTCTCCATAATAGAGGGATTGTTTATAGGTGAGTACAATGTGTTGTAAGTAATTTCTGTGCTATTTTCAAACCCCAAAATGGTCAATTTCTTTGACTTATCAGTGAATTTTTAAGGAATTTTTAGAAATAATCACAGAAGTGTCATTCTGGTGTTGTTGCACTGCAAACCAATCCCTCAGCTTTATGTCAGCTTTTCTGCACCCTACCCAACTCGTCTGAAACCTTGAATATGTAAAGGAAAATGATCCTAAACGTTAACATTGAATTACTTCTTTATAGAGATCTGAAATTGGATAATGTGATGTTGGATTCAGAAGGACACATTAAAATTGCTGACTTTGGAATGTGCAAAGAACATATGTTTGATGGAGTAACAACCAGGACCTTCTGTGGCACCCCAGACTACATTGCACCAGAGGTAAATATTCACCATTTCAAGAGTCTGACATCCTCTCCATTGGCAGTTGTCAGTACAGGCATTTCACACCACCACGTGTTGATGGCTGTAGCTCTGGATGCTCTGTGGATGGTACTGTTTGCATTTCTGCAGGTATGTTGAATACCTCTATGAGTTAACACGAGGATATCTCTAAGACTTTGCTATTTTAAAATGTAGTTGATGGAAAACCTAACTTAGTACAGAATCAGTATTTCAAATGTTGTTCATACTAGCAAGACTAAATGAGCAGGCTCACCCCCTTGTGATTATTTAATTTGTAGACTGCAAGTGTTACTATACTTCCTTGTGCTTTGGTGTAAAGTCAGAAAAAGTTTGTGGGTGTAGCCGATGAGGTCAACAAACATTTTGCTGTGAGCAAACATAGTTTCTTTAATGTTTTTATAGGTTCACACAGCTGTCAAAATACAGGTAGTGAAAAGATTGTTCAGCATTTTTAGGAGGTCACAAATCTCATTGATTTTCAGGAAGAGAATCTTGAAGTTTTTCCTTGACCTCCCTACAAAGCTGCTTTGGTCGGCTCCAGGCCATGACTTACCAAAGCCCCGAGGCAGTGCGTTTGATCTCAGGAAAGTTCTGCTCATTGAAAACCTCAACTAAGCTGTAAGATCAGGGCTTGAATGGAGCTGACATAATAAATCCATCATTTGGCTGGGGTTTTCTGTGACTTACCAATACCTCTGTTGCATTCAAGCCATTGAAGTACTGAAAATCACATTCAAAGACAAACCTAACTGCCGAGTGTCTAAAGTGCGAATGGGATGCTTAGAAACACAGTCACGTTTTGAAGCACTGGGATAAAGAAATAGGACCTTACCATTAAGATTTTTAGTCTGGATCAGATTTATATTTCAGTACCTTAGGTACAAAACATGAAAAACAAGCACATGTGGTAGTTTGGAAATGATTCAACTATATGAATATTAAAATCTAGTGTTTGTGCTTGCTGAGCTTTCAAGAGTCTTGATTTGTTTGGCTGCAAGTTCAGTGCAAGATGCAGGATCCAAGATATGCTGAGTGTTAAGCAAGAGGCAGTGCTGGCTGGAACATTGCTGGCTGTAATTGAGTGTTTGTTGGAGCGGAGGAGATTTGTACACGGACAAGCAAATTAGTGTTAAAGGTGAATTTTGCCATCTCTGTGAAAGTAGAATGAAAAATAGTTTATTTTTCCAGTTGCTAATTCACAGAATCACAGAATGGCCAGGGTTGGAAGGGACCTAAGGATCATGAATCTCCAACTCCCCATTCATGCTTTTCAGAATGAAATATTGTGTATTATAAAAGCTTGTTTTTTTCACAAATTGCTGTTGCTTGCAATAGGATAACAGAACAGCCAGAGCAGTATTTCATTTTCTTCTGTCAAAACATAAATGAAGCCAATATAACACATTAAAAAGTGTCCTCTGTGAGACAATAGGCTTGTGTCATTTGATACCAAAGAACATGCTATCAGTGCCAAAATGCCCACTACAGGTCAATGTAGGTTTATTAGGTTTATTTTAATTTGCTGGGAAATCTCCTGTACAGCAATAACCCTTTAACCAAAACTTGAAGGAAATTAGTCTTCCTATTATCTTACAAACAGATCTTATATTTTTGTTAGTTGTATGATTTTCATTAGTTTCTGAAGGCATTATGTTGCTAAGTAGGTCTGTGATAAACTTCAGAGTAAGGTTCACGTTTTGTCTGCAGGAACATTTTAGCACATACCCATGGGCTAAAACCTATGATAGGTCATAATGAGCATAATTTGCATGTTGCTGTTCCCTGTTGCATGGAGATAGATGAGTTAAATCTACATAAACCATCTGAAGTGAGTGTGTGGCAATCAAAAATAGAGAATTGGCTCCTTTGGTCAACGCTGGGGAAGAATACCATGGCTGGGGTGCAGAGATCTGCAGGGGCAACACAGGGACAATGCTGGTATTGCATTAGGAAAAGTGGACCTGCAAGCTTTGGTGCACCATAGAATAATGCTTTCCTTTTGTGTGTTTGGGGAAGTTAGCATTTATGACTTGATACACTGATATCCACTGATATTAATATTCCTTTTTTCAATCATATGCAAATTAAGAAGAGAGAAGAGGTTAGAGTTGTTGAATCCCACATCTGTTGGGCATGCAGTCGTTCTCTAGCACAGAGTATTTATTGACATGATGAACTTAAGCATATAAATATGTATGGTCAGGGCAGTATAACAGCCTTGAAATCGATTAATACTTTATATTCCCTTGGTGAGTCAAGAGAGACTGAAGGAGATGGATGTCAAGAGATTAGTGGGAAGGGATTCTGGCAGCACCACTGCTGCCTGCAGCACAGGGCTGATCCCACTATGAGCATCCCTGCAGCACCTACAGCACTGGTTTGGAATTTCAGAAAAATTTAGATTAAAAAAAAATCCTCTCTTATTCTCTTCCATTTAATAACCTCAAACCTTAAGTTCTAACCACACATTTTCGAGGATTAAGGGAGGGCAATAGGAATGACATAGGTTTGGAAAGTTTTTTGTGCTAGTTATATTTATTTCTTTTAATAACTGTGGTTTAACTTTTCCAGTAGACGTAAGATATGTTCACAGAAGATTCTCTCTCTTGCCTCTGGGATATAATCGTTTCATCCCATTTGGCTACCAGCTGCAAGCTGCAGTGATCTAAACATTCCTACAGATTGCTGGTATTAATCTCCACGTCCTGCTCTTCACTGTGCCTTCCTTGGAGGCAAAATAAAAGAAGAAAGAAAGGAAAAAAGCAGTCAACATTCCTCTGCCAGTTTGGGTTGATGAGAGAAATTCTTCCTGAGTTCTCAAATCCTCTGCCTGAAAAGGCAGAGCTTTCACACACAATGGTAGGTAGGAAAAATGGGAGATCTAAAATGCCAAAAGGCAATCATTTAAATCAGTGATGGAAAAGAAGGGGAAGGATCCTATTGATCTTCTGCTCCTTCCAGGCCTGTAGAAAGCAGAGATTGTAGCAGAAGGGTGTGGGTCTTCACTTACAGTGCCATGATAGCCCTCACTGCTCTCTGGGTCTGCTCTGCACACTGCACTATTTAGTGATATGCCCCTCTTTGTTTATATACCCGTATTTATCCTGAAAGATCCCCAAATTCATGCATGCAGATAGGATTCTGTTGGCAGCAGGCAGCGCTGGCTCTGGGTGCAGCTGGAAGGTAATGCCTGGTGATTGCTGGGTGAGGAGGAGGGAGCTGCAGAAAACACAACATGTAGAACTCGTGACTTTGTACCGATGCATGTTGGACTGTATATTGAAAACTCATCTGCTTCCTCCCACATGTAATCCCTTCCTCAAAATGAGCATTCTTTCCTCTTCTTTACATTTTCCAATTAATGCTTGGAGTAACTGCCAGTGTTGTGTGTGGGTATAACTGTAGGTTTCCATGCATGACACACAGGCTGGCAATGAACGTGGCAGATTGCTTTCCCGTGTTTCACTTGCATCACATCCTTACCAGCATTCAGCAGGTGATTCAAATGAGTATATTTAATTAGGATCAAAGGAAAACACCTTACAGTGTTACGTACATCGACAGACATTGACAGTAAAATATTACTCTTCCTACCTTGCAGTAGATGCAATGAAAAAGCTGTTCTATTGCATTTGCAGTGGCACTTCATAGAATCACAGAATGGCCTGGGTTGAAAAGGACCATAATGTTCATCTAGTTTCAACACCCCTGCTATGTGCAGGGTCGCCAACTGCCAGACCAGGCTGCCCAGAGCCACATCCAGCCTGGCTTTGAATGCCTCCAGGGAGCTTTTCTGAAATGGTGCATTTCCAGTCCCAGTTGAACTCAGTGTCTGTGTCTCTTACTCAGCATCCCACTCTCATCACGCAACCAGTTCTGCATGAGAGATGGATGCCAGCTCAGCAGGGCCACTGCTCCGCTCGTCATGAGCTTCTGTTGACGCCAACATGTAGCATCAAATAAATATTTCAGCCAATGACATAGGACAGGAATTTCAGTGCTCTCATGACGCTGACCATATGTTAGGTTAACTGTAGGAGGTTTTATTCATGTCAGTTCTGTCTCTCCTGATGATTCTGTTTGATATTCTCTCACAAAGGCAAATTTAATTGGGGCAGATTGCATTTGCTGATGAGAATGCTATTTAGAGAACAACCCAATCTTGACTTGCTTCTTGCTGGTTAAACAGACAACACCATTAGTTACGTGCTTTGTTATGTCTTTCATTTTATGTCATTAGCTGTTTAAAAATAATGCCTCTTGTCAGTACTCCCATCAAACTCTTTGATGTTACAAGAAGCAGATCGTGACTAGCTGGACAGAGTGATGACCAGGATGAAAGCTTGGCTGCCTAGAGGGATTTCTCCTCTCAGGGCTATGGATCTATCTTTTTCTCATTTGCAAATTTAGATAAGATGTTCCTATCAAAACCTCTTACGGAATGTTTTGCCCTTTCAATCTAATGACTTTCTGAAAAACTGTCCTTTATTTTTTCACAACACACCTTGCTGTTCCATAAGACGAGAGGTTGTGGGAAAAAGGTTGAGGATGAAATGTTTTAAGATTTTCTGTGTGTAAAGACACAAAACACTTGGTGTTTCCATTAGGCTGAGCAGCAGAGGCTCCTGCCCTTTTAGTGTGACTGGTACCTGGTTTCATACTACAAGCTTTTTAGTCATGCAGCTTGTAATAAGTAACTGAGCTTTTCAAAGTTTCGCTCTTGAACTTTGTTTTTTATTTGGAGTGTAAAAAAGAAATCATAAACATTGAAAAAAAGGCTTAGCTATTGATAATCTGTAATTTAGTGAGTCTCGTGATCTGAAGCCTTGACTCAAAGAAATGGATAAATTTTTTGCCTTGTCTCTTACATTGTGCTACTCTACTCACATTGTTTATCAAATGCACATCTCAGGATTTCCTAGAGCTGACTTCCCCAAGGTACCAGAACGTCCACACACACAGGTGGGTTTAGTTAGCATTTGCAAAGCTGTCCAACTCCCATTGAAACCAGTTACTATCTGGAGTGAGGATTCAGTATTGGCTTTCTGGGACGTTGCAAAGAACTCTGTTTGTGGCACTATTTATCTAACATCACAGGACTAGAAGTTAGTTAACATAGGACTTTGTTTTTACGTGATTTTACAGATCATTGCTTACCAGCCCTATGGGAAGTCTGTGGATTGGTGGGCATATGGAGTGCTGCTCTACGAGATGTTAGCTGGCCAGGTAAGGGTTACCTCTTGGTGGCTCCAATGCTGCTCACTTTCAAAACTTGCTGAAGGGCCAGACCCTTAGGGGACAAGTGTGGGGCCTTTCATACTACTATTGTCTCCATGTACTCTTGACTGTTTCAGACTCGCTGAGAAAGTAGTCTTTAAGCCCTTTGTATTTCACCCCCATAATAAAGCACTGCCTTTGAATATGGTTTCTTTGTACTGTAATGATGTTATAAATAGCCATGTTCAAAACTGAATGGGAGAGAGACACTTGAGTAGGAAAATGCATGTCAAATGGAAGAAACACCACTTAGTAGTTTGAAACCACGGGGAGATTTTGTCTATGCTGTGCATTGCAGTTAAGTCACAAGAATACAGTTTTTGTGTTCTGTGTCCTAGGGGTAAAGTATGGGTCTGGCTGCTCTAAATAAGCTTAGTTACAGACCCCTTATTCTGCACAGTTAATGAGAGGCTGCTCTCTGAGTCACTGAAGTAGAAAAGCAATGCTGTTCTACAGTAAATTGCATATAACTACCAACTTAAAGAGCTCTATTGGTCTTGAGATGGATAAGATTTGTGCAAGCAGCTTTCAATGAGTGTTAGCTAGAGGTACGAATTTCTTAAACTTAAAACATACATTTTTAACAAATGGGTTGAATAGTTTCTCTACTAAATCCCTTTTGACATTTTAAAAGTTTTTAAAGGGTTGCAGTGGCAGTTGTTAACATTTACAGTGTACAGTGCTAACATTAGGCAGCTGAGTGCTTTTGAGAAAATGAGATTTACTGCTAGCTGAGTCTTTACAGTGTCTGTACCCCAGGGACTCAGCCAGGGGCACTTCCCTCTTCACCTGTATTTGAAACTAAAATGCAACCCTGTATTGTGATGCAATCCCACCTTCACAGAAGCAGAGTCTACAGCCACATCTTATAAAAACAAACTGGGATTTATCTAGAATGAAGTGAGGGGTAGATATGCCTTAATAGAAGGTAACTGAAAGTTACAGTTTCCAAACTTTACCCTTTGAAGTACTTTTGGGTGTCCAGTATACAGTAGCTTTAAAAGCTAATGAAAGATTATCACAAAGATGGAATCACTGAAGGTACTCCAGCAAACCTTTCATTAACTTTCTGCCATGCTGGGAGCAGAAATGAATTTTTGTCATCAATTTCTGTCTGAGACTGCTAAACACTAAGCTTCTGGGTCAGCAGGTCCCCAGATTGCAGGTGGCTAGATGCTTGTTGTGTATTCCTGAGCAGGAACCTTTGCTTCCACTGATGCCTTTGGACATCTGTGATTGTCTGGAGGCAGCATGGATGCATCTTTCACCTGAACCACTATTGCTGCAGTATTGCTATACCACCTCATAAAAAGTGGAGAATTAACAGCATTTATTTTAACAGCCTCCATTTGATGGAGAAGACGAAGATGAACTTTTCCAGTCCATAATGGAACATAATGTTTCCTATCCAAAATCACTGTCCAAAGAAGCTGTCTCCATCTGCAAGGGGGTGAGATAGACGTTTCTTTATTACTAAGCTTCTTTTTGGCAATCCTTGTGAATAACTTTGTCTGGCTTTGATATGGTGCTTAGTATTTTAAATGTAATTTCTGTCAGGCTGTGTTAAGTTATATTGTCATAAAGTGCTTGTCGCTCAGTGTCACTGATAAGAATTCAGCTCCTCCTGCTGTGTCTGCTTATTTTATGGTAAGAACAAATATCAGAGGCAGTAGCTGCCAAATCCAAAGGAGGATCCAAGCAGGAGGATGGTGTGAAACATCTCCACCTGCCTTGCCTCAGCCCTTGGCTGTGCCAGCCCATGTTGGCAAGGTGGGGAGGTTTCCCAGTTTAGATGGATACTGCTGTGGTCCTCAGCCCTAATCACAGCAGCAGAACAGAGGAGTTAATAAGGATCATTTTTCAACGTGAATAAAGATGAGCCTATGTGAAATTCTGTAGCATAAATGCATGGGAACTGTGGGGAAATCTTGACCCAGTTGCAAACTGCATGAGCAAAAGTTTATCTTAGATTGAGATTTAATCTAATTTTTTTTCATGGAAAATAATAAATTTGATTTGAAGGGATTAGCTCAGAAAAATAGAGTTTGGTTGACTTTCTCTTGACTCCGTGCGATTCCCCAGGGTCCCATCATTCCACAGCTTTTCCAAACCATCCTCTATAAAGCCTTACTTTGATGTCTTACCTCACTTTGCATCATGTCAGTTGATTTGGTAATGCCTTTTTTCCTTTCCTTTGCAAGCAAGTAAGAAGTATTGCCCATAGCTTGGATATTAATCCTGTAAGGAAAAATCATCAAGAAAAAGAAAAGCTGTTTAGAACAATGAAGTAAAAGGAAGGACCACTCTAATTTTAGAACTTACCCAGTATAGACATGCTGCTTGTGGCTAACAAAAACTAAATGTTATATTTCTGTAAAGATTTATGCCTTGTTGTGAAAATTGTACGTTCACACAACACAATGTGAACCTGATCTAGTTACCTTGTTCTCAGCTCTCCTGCTTGCTGTCCATTGCACTGGCTGCTTATGCAAAGGGAGTTCAGAAAACTAAAATGACCACACAGCCAGGCACGGTGGTGCTGCCCACTGTGACCTGAAAGGGAATTGTCTGCTTGACAGCTTTTAATGGATTCTGAGTGTGTTGGGTTTGGTGGTCATAGTAACTTTGGGACAGAACTATGACTGCTAGATTCTCATTTTTCTTATTTCTCCCACTGTTCAAGCAAGGGGGTTCAAAAAGCTTTAAAGAAGAGGCAAAGTTGCTCTTAAGCATGAAGAATGATGTGATCCATCCCAGCCCCAAGCTTCGCTGGCTTCCTGAAATTTGCTTCACATCTCTGTTATTTTAGGTTCTGAATTGGAATATGATCAAGTGAACATTTGGAGGAAAAGTAAAGTGGTACAGCTGAGGTTTTAAAAAGATGCGTTGTGGTATTGCTGCTAGCAGTGTATCAATCACATCTAATTGTAGAAGAGCTTTTAAAAGTCCCTGCAATACTGGAACTGAGAGCTGAAGGCTGCATTGCTCGATGCCTAATTGACAAACAAGATTTTTTATGAGCTTGTTAATTACAAAGCACATCAGTGTTTCCAAGCATGCAGTGCTGGTGTTGTTTTTTTTTTCCTCAAGTCTTGATCTGTACAACTGGGTGCAGTGTTGATGAAGGTGTCGTTAAGGATGCGCGGGAGGAAGCGCGGATGAGATGCTGTCAGCTGGGTGCCAAGGAGCTGCAGGCTCCGTAGCGAGGCATCTTCAGCAGGCCCAGAGCAATGAAGGGGGGGCTGTGCTTCCTACAGCTCCAGCAAACTGGGATTTATTGAGTTTAATTGATTGCTGAGGTAGGGTGGATGCTGTTCTGGAGATTTATAAGACTGAACCAAAAGAACAAAGATGGAACTGGGGAGCGAGCGGTGCGGTGAGGCCCACGCAGCTCTGCATTCGGCCACGGGCTGCCGTCTCCTGTGACCAAACAGAAGCTATTCTCAAAAAATTAATTTTAACTTTTCACAGCAATTTTATTAGCAACTTCCATCTTTGAGAACATTGCAGTCTGGGGAAAGTCTGCCTCGCGTCCAGTTGCAGTGCTCAGTGTAATCATTTGGTGTTTTCTTGTTGGCAGCTAATGACTAAACATCCCGCAAAGCGCCTTGGCTGCGGCCTCGAAGGTGAAAGAGACATCAGGGAACACGCTTTCTTCAGGAGAATTGACTGGGAGAAACTGGAAAACAGAGAGATCCAGCCACCTTTCAAGCCCAAAGTGGTGAGTGGGGTGATGGCCGCGTTCACCCAGCACCTGTCTGCACTCCTGGGCTGGGATCTGTGCTGGCCAACGGATGCAATTCCTTCAGGAGCAGCTGTAAATTGTTACATCTTACCGTTGAATCTTTGCTCTCTAACACTGTTTTCACTTCTGCTGAGATGCACAGAGCATGGCAGGTATAGGATTGTTGCCCTGTGCTCTGATCTGTTTGTCATTGCAGACGTGCTAGTGGGTCACCACAAACTAGTGAACAGAGGCAGAGTACATTCCTCTCTTACTGCATACAAAGGCCTTTTTCCTCTCACCAGAAGAGGAGTTGTATGCCAAGAAGTGTTCTATGCTAGGGGACATCAGCCTTTCCATAGGATGTGGATTTTGCATGGAAGGAAAGGTATAAATAAGCAAAAAAGCCATGCACAGCACTGCTGACACTGTCAGACCATTCCCAGAACTGTCTGTCAGAGGGGGAGCTTCACTTCTTCACAAACATTTTATGTAAGGTTTTCATTATGTCCTTCTTGAGTCAAAATTGAAGCTGACCATAAAGCAAATCTACCTCCACAACTGTAAGCTTTATTAGCTTGGGAACTGAGTGCTCGTCAGCATGAAGATGCTAAATCCTGAAATACAGTCCTGTTCCATCAGAGCACACTTCGTGGCAGATCCTGGATCCTGTTCAGAGCAGCTGTTATCTTTCCCTGTGGTTATCATGACCTGTTTTGTTTATACAGGCAGCTATTGAAAGATACCAAGGAGATTTGGGCAAGCATTCACATGGAACATCATCTTCCCAGACAAAAATCATTCAAAATCCAAGTCTAATATTTACATACCCTATGTATAACTCATTTATTGTGATTGCTGATTCTATTTGTATTGATTCCAAAACACGCAAACCTTAATTTGTTTTAAGATGTGTTCGTATTTGTTGGCTTTGTTTTGTTTTCGGATAACCTTCCCTAGGAAGCACTTTGCTGCAGGAGCAATCCTGCTGCTTTTGCAGACAGGCACAGTTCTCACTCCAACACGGAGCTGCAGATTTTGGGTCAGCAGTTGGTTGGTTTAAATAACATGTTCCTTTCTAGACTGACAATTCATAACCCTTAGGTGTAGGGTCATTGCTTGGCAGGAAAGACATTTTCTCATGCTTGTAAGAATTCTGGTGATCTCTTATTCTCAGTCACACCTTGGTTTCAAGACACAGCTGGTTTAAATTCCGTTTATTGGAGAAAAAGGGAAAATAGATAGAGCATAATTATGTAGAAGCATCAGACTTCTCCATAAAACATCTATTTAAAAAAAAAAAAGGAAAAAAAAGTCTTTCCTGTGAAAACATCCCTGCTCTGAATTGGCTGCACTGCCTTAAAAAAAAAAAAAAAAAAAAAAAAAAGCTGTTTTCCCCTTGTAAAAGTTCAGCTCTTGTCCACTCTCTGGACCAAAAGGCCAGGATATTCAGTAGAAAAGCAATCTGCCATTAGCCTTCACTCTTCCAAGGTTGAACAAGTGCCCGTTGTCAGCACGCTGGTCCAGTATCTCAGCATGTATTTCTCATCTGAGATATAAAACAACTTGTGCCTGGGGCAGCAGAAGTTCTCTGTAGCTCAGACTGGCTGGCATATCCAAGTCTGTGTGCCAGGTGTGTTGTAAGCAATTAAGAAACTAACTGAGCTGTTTTGAGCCACATGTCTCGCCCTTGAATTCCCTTAAGGCTCCCCTCCAGTTTGTTCCTCCTATAAATGTGCACCTATATTCATGTTGAATTAGTTCAGAAAAATCAATGTTGTATATTGGCATATTGTACAAGTCATCTTCTGTCCTTTCAAAGTTACCTTCTAAGTCAGAAGATAATGGTTTAATGCAGTGTTATCCTCCAAATCCCAATGTAGATATATTCAGTAACAAAAATAAATGATAGTGCAGCTCTGCTTCAGGGTAGGGAGGAAAGGGTCAGGGACAGCAGGAAGAAGTATTCACTGTGTGTATCACGCATCCACTCTTTGAGGAGCTCTTATATAGCTGGATTTGAAATAAACAGATTTATGAGTTGCCTTTGGACCTCCGTGCAGAATTGCTGTCTGTTTATCCCCAGATGAGCAGTCTTTCTTGCACCCAAACTCATTTTGTTCTGCTTCCAACTTCTCCCTTTTTCACTGCTAATTTTACTCTCCTGCCTTTCAATTGTTTCCACACCACTCCAAATTCCCCCTTTCAGCAAACTTGATTTCTTTTGTTTTCTGTTCTGAATGAAGAGCACTCAGTGTGGAGCTGTATGTAACCACGCTTCTCAGTTAGGCTTCACAAGTCTCTTCTCTTGGACAAAAAAGGAAAGAAACCTGTGATAGCACATTTTGCAACGTGGGCCTGTTCCCAGGGTGCACTCCCTGCCCCACTTCCATTTCTAGGCAGGCAGCAGTTTGCTGCTAGTTTGGTCTGTTACCTCCTGCAGATGCTTGGAAAGAACAATATCTTCCATTTCATTTCATGGAGCTGATTGTCATTACTGCTTCTGGGGGTTAAACTAGGGGGAAGTTTGGAAGGCAGGGATCAAATACTTGCTGTTCCTGTACATCTCTGCAGTGTGCATCCAGCGCTGAGGCAGACAGAATCACATGGACTGCCTTGTGATGGGGAGACTGGTGAGGGCGGTTGGGTCCTGGTTTCTACCTTTTAATCCACTGTGCACTGTTATTCAGGTGCTGCTAAGCAGTTCAGTTCCTTTTCTGTGCTTACTGCTGTCTGAAGAGAGCCAGGTTTGTCTCCCTGTCTCTGCTCCACACTTTTGAGGGCTCTCTGGTTGTGCTTGCAGTTCCCACGTTGTTCCCTGTGAGGCTGCCCAGGATTTCAGTACTTTGCAGGGCCTCATTTCATTTCTGCTTCGCTGAGTGGGACTGAAGTGTGATTTGGAATAAATACCTTCTGGAACCAAGCATGTTCCTGATCTAATAATAGACAGCTGCATTATAGCATGGTATATTTTTGTAGTAATGATTATACACAAACACACATGAAGCAAATGGATCTGTATGTGTATGCAGATCTGTTCATGATTTCCCAAATGCTACATCTGTATTTCCTTTAGTAAAACCTGTCTCTATATTTAAGCCTCTTTAACTTGCCATCTCATGGTGCTTTTCACCACAACTCATCAATTAAAGCTCCTCTATTTGCTTGGGATTGTTTTGGTTCAAATATCTGAAAAGAAAATGTTATCTTAATTGCTTGTAAGACTTGCATTCGTCCTGAGAAATCTGCAGACCTGCTGATGTATTGCTGACCTTTTCAGTCCTTTTTCTCTCTTTTTTTGTTCTCTTGCAGTGTGGCAAAGGTGCTGAAAACTTTGATAAATTCTTCACACGAGGACAGCCGGTGTTAACCCCGCCAGACCAGCTGGTCATTGCTAACATAGATCAATCCGATTTTGAAGGGTTCTCCTATGTCAACCCCCAGTTTGTACATCCCCTCCTAGAAAATGTAGCATGAAACAGCAGAACGGGAACAAATCCCCCAGTAGGAAACGGTTCTTAACCCTAAAATTTTTAGGTTTTTGCCTTGGTTCCATTTGGGTCTGAAAATTATAGGGTTAAAAAGTGTGAGATGGGGGGAAAGGCCACTTAGTGAGGATTTTGGCTTTGCAACCAAAACGTCTTAATGGGAGATAAATTAGCGTACAGTACCCGTTTCTCCTACTAGAAGTCTCCACTGAAGTTCCCTGTTTTTGGTACTTTCTATAGTTTTGTAGCTCCCTGCTGTCTTTTTGCTCCGTTTTTCACTCCGCCGCTGTTACAAATAATCCAAGACCCGACCTGAGAAGCACCTCCAGTTCTCAGTCCTTGCAGGGGACCAGTGCTCCCCACTCCTATGGGCGCCATGGGGAGAGCAGAGCATGGGACTGGAGAGCGCCGGGGAGGAGAGGCATTGCAGAACGTGGTGGAAAGCAGTTGTTACCCAAACCTGGCAAATAAATACGAGTTGGGCGTGGGGGGGGGGGGGAATGAAATCCAATTAGAGCCCAAAGCTTTGTGAACCGATCCTGTAAGCAACACCGAATTTAAACGGTCTCCAGCAGTGGCCAGATCTCTAGATCTTTGCTAAGTAGCATGTGATAAACTCAAGGGTGAAGTTTTGTCTTTAATAATAATAATAGTAATAATTTTAATAATATTTTTGTGAATTTTAATCTCCGTGAGATTATTCTGTGATCCAGGGTGCCATTGTTTGTTCAGTTGATTTCATTTACACCACTCCTCAAGCTCACTGTTAACTGGTTCTACTAACAATGTTTTACTATGAAGTTTGTTAACCTGGAATGTAAAACAGAACTGTAATCCCTGACATCTTATTTACGTGCGTGTGTTTGTAGTCTGCAGTATAGGGCAGTAAGTTGAAGGAATATTGTGTATGCTAAATTAACAAAAATGCAGTCCCAGCTGACTTCCTGATTTGTCCAGAGCAACTCGTGACAATTAATTGAGAATTAGTCCTACAGTAATCAATTTTAACTCAGAAAACTTGGGGCTGTACAATAATCAAGCTTGAAAGAAGCACTTAAAGCTTGTTTTATGGATAGAATGGAATTTAATACATTTTGCATATGCTTCATGCAATGAATTTTGCATGTTTAGTAATAACTCTTAATAATAAGGGTTAATAATAAGCAGTTCTATATTGACATAATCATATCAAGCATACAGAGTATTATAAAAGTTTTATAAAACAAATTGTGCTTTAATTGTGGAAGTTCCTGTTCTGAACAACATCATTTAGGTTTAGCTAAATGTTTTCTCGCTGTTGTTTTGGGTTGTTTTTTTCTAGTTTTTGGATATTGTTAATGACTTAGGGTATCATCTGTTTTTTTAAATGTAGATCTACTTTTAAACAATAACTCTACCTGCAGGTTTTATACGAGTTTCAATTAGGCTTTCATTTCATGTCTGCTGATTACTTACAGGGAAGGAAATAGATTTTATTTGCAATGATGAACACTGTAATTAATGCAATCTTCTCCTCTCCTATCTCACTTAGATACAAATTTTGATATTTCCTCTTAACCACTTACCAGAAGATCTTAATTCAAATATCAGTAAATATTTTTGTGCTTACTTTGGTTTTGTTACAGCATGTAAAATAGTAGGCGGTGCGTTTTCCTTTTTTTCCCTTCTGCCTTGTCAATGGTAGCAGCCATAGGCACTCTTTGTCTGTCAGATGTGCATGACGATGCCAGAAGCATGATGTCTCTGTTGCTGCATGCAGACTGAATACAGTTTTTCCAGCATGTGAACATACTCAAGAAGTCAGATATTTGCCATGAAAGACTTACATTTATACTAGAATATGTAATCGGAGGGTGGCGGTGGGAGGGGGGCAGGAATCTACTTTCTAATCATCTTTTATTACAATAAAACATTGAGCCTGTGCCAAAGATTCTGCCAGAAAGATCCAGTCCTGCAGATTGGATGGCGATGATGTGCAGGAGTGACCCCGTGGCACCTGGGACAATTTGTGAGCAAAGCGCGGTCGGAAGTGAACAGAAGCATCTGCGCGGCGCTCCTGCACCACGTATGCCTTCTGAAGCCGTCCTTTGGCGTCTGGGATTTGCAGCACTCCAGTTGTGTGAGCAGCCCTGCTCCCTTCGTGGTCACAGCCCTTGGTTGGAGCATCCCCACGGAGGGCTCAGCCCATGGTGGATGGACCCAGCGCATCCCCCAACGAACAGCTCCCCAGATTGTTGCCTCAATAAAAGACCTCAACCATTTTAACATATTTTAGGAGTACAATTTTTCAACTATCCCGTGGCAAACATGTCATCAGCCAAGTCTGGGCATTCGTTTTTCTCTTTGTGTATTATATACCTGAAGATTATGGTATGTTGTTCGCCATAAAGCATGTGGACTAACGCAGCATTCATGACTATTTCTGTCTTTCTGATTATTAGTAGCCTGCCATAGTTTGGGGATATCTCGGTGTGATGCTGTAGAAGGTAATAGATTGTGGAGGTCAGATGTTGAGGAAATAAGGGAGCTCTCAGTGTTTAAATCTGCTAGGAGCAGGCAGCAGGTGGTATAGGAATGTGAAAGGGAGGCTTCTGAAAAGGAGACTAGTTGTCCTCTAAAGGTCCCTTCCAACTCAAATGATTCTATGGTTCTAAGAAAAGGAAAATACGAGGAGATAGAGCAAAGCATGGGTTTGTGGAGCAAGGAAAACAGCACGTGGTGCAGCTCCCCATCCCAGAAAGAGGCAGGAGAGAAAACCAAGAGATGTTCCTGAATCTGTTGTTTCTCCTGAGGAGCTGTGCTGGGATGTCCATCTGGAAGTGGTTGCTGCTGGCAGAGCAGTGACGTGGTGCTCTCACTGGCAGTAAGGAGCTGGTCCAGCCTCTGAGCGGAGCTGCTCGCTTTGTGGCTGTTCCTCATAAAACATTAAATATCCAGCAAGTACTTTCCCATGTTTTTTAATGCAGGTGTTATTTATAAAATGTTTCTCACAAGATGTGGCTTCCTAGACAGAGAGCATTTGTCAGCCAAGGCATTAGGACTGCTTTTCTTTCCCTCATACTCAGTAGCAAAGGCATTCCACTCTTTCCCTTCTAATGGAGCGAGGCCATCCCCACGAAGGATGTGACGGAAACATTTAATGTGACTTTGAATTCTTGGTGACTTTGAGCCCTTGTCATCATGAGCATTATTGTGCATTTAGGTTCCATCTGTTTGCAGCTACAGGGTGTGAGTGCTGTGTGCTAGGCAGGCACTGAGCTGCAGTGTAGTACTAGAGCAGCTGAGATACAGCTCCACACGCTTACATGTAGTAGTTGAGTGGAAGAGTTGAATAAGAATTGACTCCATAAACATGACTTCATATCAACCAGTGGCCATGCCAGCAGCAATTGGTGATCAGCAGCCTTACAACAAGGAACCATCGTGCACTACAGCCCTTGTGCTCCCAGAGAATCACAACAGAGAGGCTGAACCCCCGGGCTGCTGCTGTCCCTGCCTCAGTTTCTCTCTGTCAAATGAGGGTAATAATACTGCCCTGCAGGGGTGTGAGGACTTCTCAGTTCATGTTTCTAATGGCCTTGTAACCTGGGAAGAGTTGTATAAGAATTACTATAATTTTTACTATTGTATCAGCATATTCGACTTGCGTGGTATAACTGTTTATTCATGGGGTGTTTCTACTTTTTTGTATGACTTCAGAAATTCTATTGAAACCATTTGAAGGAGAACACAAACAGATGTGATACGTTTCTTCCAGATTGCGGAGTGCAGCCTTTGCTGAGGGGTGAGGGAGGAGGTGACACCGCTTGGGTCGGTGTGGCTCTCTCCTCTCCAAACACTGAGATTCTATGTGATAATTCCATGTCATTGAGGTCTTAGCAGAACTGACAGTTGTAGGATATGATTCCCTATGGGTAAATACCATTAGCACAGCTCTTTTCTAATAACATTTGTACTGACTCCTGCTGGAGGAGTGATATTTGCTACGCGGCTGCTCCATCTGAGACAGTTTTATTCCAGTGAGATTTTAGTGTATTCCTGTGTACATCTCCTCATGCTTTTCTGTTGCTTCCGCGTGACGCTGCAGTCCAAATTTAAAAGCCAGAAGTGTTGGTGGCAGGAACATCTTAACAGAGAGGGAAATGAGGTCTCTGTGATTTATAAACCTTTTCCCATCAATTATTGGAAGCGGTACAGCTGTATTCCTCCCAGTCACAGGGAAGCAAAGCTGTTGATGGCAGTGATGCAGGTGCTTTGGTCTTTCCAAGGTCCGGAGTGCAGCTGTCTTGGAGCAAGGCAGCAGGGGAAGAACACAGCGCCCAGCACCCAACCGGTGCTCCACAGCTTCACTGGATCCCGTCCTGCTCCCAGCCCCAGCAGCGCTCCCCACGGCTCCCACCCTGCCCAGCACAGCCCCAGCCCTCACACAGAAGCCAACAGAGCCCTTCACCAGTTCTCTCATGAGCTATTAACATGAATGTAAGAAAAATAATATCAACGACCTGAAGCGTGCCATCTCTTTTGAACACATTTGGGGCGACCCCAACTCCTGTTTGATTTTGCACAACGATGCAAAACACACCTGAAACGTTTGAAATGATTGCATGTTGTTTCAACACTATCCTTTATTTAAACAAGGAGCCGTGCTACCTTGAGTCATTCATATTTATGGATATTATTTTAATACCCAACGCTTGTATTTATAAAGAGGAGAACATTATTCATTTTCTCATGGTTTATTTTTCTGCAAGATGCTACCGGGAAACTGGGAGATGCCAAATCAGAAAAACCACATTGGAAGTGTAGTGGGCAAAACCGGTCTATAAATTACAGCATCTTTTTTTTTTTTTCCTTTTTTTTTTCTTTTTTTCTTATTCCTCAAGATCTTCAGTCTTTGTTGGCATGAAACACTTTTGTTAAATATGAATTGTAGTTTCAAAGCAAGTGTGTGCAAATAAAAATACTGATCATTATGTTGCAAGAGTTTGCTCTGCTTTGGTGGGAATTCATTTCCAAATGTGCTGTGCAGATGCTCTGGTGTGGATGCTCCATGCTCCATCAGCCATGGGCCTCGCCGGCATCCATAGCAGAATCCTACTGGACTGAAACCCTCACACACAGAATGCCAACCTGAGCCCTTGTTAAATTCCTGTTAATAAATTGAGAGAATAAGAGGCTAAACTGAGGGAAAAGGGGTGTGTGTACAGACAGCCTGCAGATCTGGTGCAAGTGCTGCTGTTATGACAGAGGGAGCTAGGGGTGGAGTAGCAGCTCCTGGAGTGGGTTTCCTGCACCTCAGCCTGGTGCTCCCCCTGTTGGGGCCGATGTCATTTTATTTTCAAGATTCGGAAGCCGTGTACAAACGCTGCAACAAGACGGACACATTCTTTCTCCACTGGCTCTCAGACATATTGCATCTTGTGCTAACTCAGTAATTGAGTTAGTTTAATTTGCAGAAAAATCTGGCTGACTTTGCCCAAAGGAATGCATGAAATCTATTCATTTTATTTTATTTTATTTTATTGGTGGAAACAGCACTTCCAGGCTGCCCCCCACTGCTCAGTTCCATCTGATGCGCACGTCTTCTCTGCAGCCCGTGCCAACCTCTCCTCCCAGCCTTGGCGCTCCCTGCAGCACACAGCCCAGAGCTGGGGGCACCACGGGCTTTGCCCACATCCATCCCATCCCCTCGGCCATTCCAATGGGGCTCTGGGTGCTTGGCTTCACCAGCCCAGAGGATTTTTGCAGTGCTGGTACGTGTGTGGGAAATAGAACCACCTCTCCGCAAACTGCTAGAGTAGCTAAAGTGATGGTTGCATTAATTACTGCAGGGTGATTAGAATCCCACCTGGCTCTTCAGAGGCATCATTGCTGCTGTGCTGGAAAAATCCATAGTCAGCCCTGTGGAGATGAACCGAGGAGGGGCTCAGGAGGGATGTGGCCAGATGCTTTCCCCGATGGCACCAGGTGTCTGTCACCTTCCCACAGGGCGACAGGGGTCCGACCAGGGACAGAGAGAGGTGATCTGCACCTTCAGAGCTGGCCACATAGCTTTCTTAAGGGCGTTTTTCCCAAAGGAGAGGATGAAACAAGGCAGATATGATGGGAAATGAATCAGTGCTGCCTCCTTCCAGGGGTTTGCTGCATTCACTGCCCTGGAGATGGCATCATCCCCTGACTGCCAGAGGGAGATCAGGTCAGGTGTGAGGAGGGAGATTCTTCCTTCAGTGGGCAGTGAGGCCATGGCACTGCATAGAGCTGTGGGTGCCCATCCCTGGAGGTGCCCGAGGCCATGGAGGGGGCCAGGGCAGCCTGAGCTGTGGGGACAGCCAGCCCATATTGGGGGATGGATCCAGGTGAACTGTGAGGCCCCTCCCAACCCCAGCACTCTGTGGTTCTATGGTGAAAGCTGCCAGTGGTGAAAGTGAGAGCAGAAGGGAGGAAAGAGCTCAGGACAGAGATGAGAGCTTGGCTCAGCTCCTGGTCCTTCTGGGATACCTCGTTCAATGCTCTTGTGCCTGCTTGACCCTAACATCATTAAAAGATCAGTAACAAATCCCAGCATGATACAAATCACACGGAACGCTGTTACCCTTCATACAAATGCTCTGAGGTTTTAATGAGTGCCCTCTAAACCACTTCCCACACCACAACCTCTGCAGGGCCCTTCACATCCCCTCCCAGGGCCGTGTGGGGCTGTAGGATACACAGCCTCAGCTCTCATCAGCTCGAATGAGGCCCATAGGATTACAGAGGGTGTTTTATTTTAAATAAAGAGTGTAACTTCCATTGGCACGTGCGCCTCTGTTGCCCCATAAGTCAGGGCCCCTTGGGAGGCTGCCGCCCAAAGGCTCTGCTTTTTCTTTTTAATCTATATCTATTTTTAAGCTTTCTCACAGTGTGTGGGTGCGGAGCTGAAAATAGAGCCTCACCTCTCCATGTGCTTCTCCCCCTGCAGCTCCAACATTGTGGGCTGAGCTCAGGGCTGCGCCAGAGCTGATGTCTTCAATTTGATGCAGTGTGAGCAGCATGCAGGAACCCCCCACCCAACAGAGACCGGGCAGCTGCCAGCATCCTTTGGTGCTGTGCATTTTCCCAAATCTCGCAGCAGAGCATCTCAGCAGCCTCCATTTTGAGTATTTCCTAGCTGCTGTGGGCTCTCTGGGGAGCTGGGGTCACTGCATCTACCAGCCCTCTTTCCTCAGGCACAAGCTGGAATTTGGGGCTGGTATGGCTTTTTCCTTCCTGTGCCCAAAATGCTGCTGACAACCCCTGGTTGGTGGCTGCTGCCCATCACCACACCGGATGTCACAGTGTACGCAGCTCATGGGGCTCCTCCTTATCCTCCTGCAGAGCAGAGCTGAGTAATTCAGCAAATCGGAGGGAGCAGAGAGAAGCCAGAGGGT